AAGAAAGGATGTTCCAACCGACAGGGGATCAGCCTGGAACCTCCACGCTCTTTGCCCCAGAAGTGTCCTCCTCAAACGTGTGAGAACTGTACATTAGGGATGCAATCGTTTAGTCTGACAGTGTATCCCTTTCCGGTTAGTAAGGGAAAGACTCTCTGCTCTTAACTCAGAGACACATTATTCCATCACAGTTAAAAAGGCACCGATGCCCAGCAGGGGCTCATCTGCTGCACACCAATCCGCGGCATGGAGTTGGCTGGCGTCTCCTCCTGGTCCTGCACCACTGCCTTCCAATTCTAAGTCAAGCTTTTGTGGCATTGCTGCGGGGGGTTAGCTTGGACTCAGATGGCCAGCAACAGTTCATGCTCAGGAGAGAATGGACATACCTCACTTCGGGGTAACAAAATGCCTTGAATGCGCTCCAGTTCCAGAGCTATGCCATGGTGAGGCCAGGCAAAAGTAAAGCCTTGGGAGAAGCAATTGAAGTTTCAGCTCTCTCAAATACTAATGCATGGAGTGCTTAAGATTGCAGCCCTAAGCACACTTTCTTGGAAGTAAGCCCTGTTGAAATGAAATGAGTGAGACTGCTCAGTAAACATTAGTGAGCAGTGAACAAAAGATGTGATGTAGGCATGTAGCTGGGCGACGCTCTGGTAATGGGACTGGAAACTCGATGGTACCATCGAGTTTCCAGTCCCATTGCTAGAGCGTCACCCGGCTACATGTCTACGTCACATCTGGGCAACGGAATAGTGCAGTGCCTGTGTTTTCCCTGCGGGAATGGTCCCACGAAGAACTATATATCCACTGCCAAATCAAGGCAAGTACTTGGGAGCCCTGGAATTATACAAAGCACACCTAGTAGCCAAAGGTTATTCACACTAACCGCCCTTCAATCCATATGTCGCTTTAATTTGCAGGCAGGTTGTATACTTCTTTCCAGTTCTTAGGTTCTTTTGCAGATTGTACAGTTTCACCAAATTGAAAATCTGAAACTGTACAATCTGCATAAGAACCTAAGAACTGGAAAGAAGTATGCAACTTGCCTGCGAATGAAAGAGACATATCAATTGAAGCAATGGAACGGGAAATACTATCCATATATGAGAAAGAAGCATGGACTCTTACAAAGTTACCTCCAGGCAGAAAGCCTGTTGGATGCAAATAGGTATTCAACATCAACTATAAAGATGATGGGACTGTAGAATTATACAAAGCACGCCTAGTAGTCAAAGGTTATTCACCACATATAAAACATTCAATTTTCTTTTCCCTTTTAAATCTGTGTTTATGTTTCAAGCTCAAAACAGATATCTCATTAAACAAAGCATCCTGAGTAGTTCTGGAGTCATATTCTCTCTTTAAAATCATCAACAAATCATCAAGCATTAGATCCTTTTGGTGTCTTAAAATCATTGCAAGCCCTCTGTAACTTGTAGGGAGCCCGCTTAAAATGGCTACAGTCAAGTCTGTTTGATCAGGAGTCTTCCCAAGTTCTTTCAATTGATTGTAAATCCCCATTAGCTTCTTCAATTGAGCAGGCAAAGAGTCACTTTCCTTTACTTTAAAGCCAAAAATCTGAGCCCTCAAGTAGTAAATCTTACTGGTTGTCTCCCCTTCATACCTCTCTTTCAGATGTTCATTAATTTGGAAGTTTCTATGGTATGCAGGCTGGGGACATCATGGCAATTAACTGAACCCATAATCAAGGACTTGGCAGCCATCTAGTTTTCTGAAGGCACTTTTGTCTGGCTCAGTGGCAGGGACACCTTTTGTTAAAATATCTTCAGCCCCATACATTTGCGGTCTATTCTTTAGGAAGCTGAGCCACCAATTAAAATTATGCTGGGTTAATTTGAGTGGGCCTAACCGCACTGGGTTGAGATCTCCGGCTTGGAACATACATCTGTGGTAGATTCAGAAGATGTGCTTGCTGTCTGTGAATCACTCATCTTGACTTGCAGGCTTTTAGCAGGCACTCACAGGTTTAATTCTGTTTTCAGAGCAGGGATGCAAGAGTGGCTGAAGCAATCAATCAGCTTCTAGTGTTTCCTTCTGGCTCCAGTCTCTCCAGAGGCATGGGTTTCAAGCGCACAGAAAAACTTCAAAAAAGAAATAGTTCTCAGCTGCTCCTCTGTGGCACAGGCAGGCTGGCATAGGGAGATTCGTAAATCACACATGAATCTGGGTCACCTTTCATAGCTGTAGTATATTTGGCAGGGAGAGCAGAAAAAAAAACTTGCAGAGAAAAAGTGGTCATTTTAAAAATCAAGCCTCGTAGCCTTGCTAATTTAGCTCAACCTCTCTCTCTCTCTCTCAATCCAGTGAGCATTTAAAAACTTGCTTTTACTTAAGCATGACAGGCAAGACCAGGTAACCAACCATCCTCTGCTACCAGAATATGTTGGAAAATTTGGTAAAAATAGTTAAATATTCAGAGTTTGCAATGGATCTTTGTTCACTGGAGAGGAGGCATTTTCTTTCTATGTAAATATTTTTATTTCTTAAGGGGAGGGTACACAGGAAATCTACAAAACAACAAACACTTAAGACTACATGCTTGCAACAACAGACACACAGATAGTAATGGAGATTCTTCCTTTCTTCTTGACCCCTAGAAGAAAATCACCTGAATGCATTAACCAATGATTGTTAGTAAATAGGCTTCAGGGCTTTCTTTCCATTGGCTTTCTGCTAGGTTCCCTTTCAGTTCAGTTTAAACAATAGCAGACAAGGTAAGCACATTAACCCTATAATGACTGACTTTAGACCTTGCAACACACATGTTTCCGACATAATCTACCTTGAAACCCTCTTTGAAAGACAAACTATAAATAATATAAATAAATAAATAATATGGGGGGTGGGGTCCACAGATGAAAAAAAATGTCCTCCCTCTCCAAATGTTTCTAACTTTTTCCATGGGGACCTTCACATGTGTCATCTGAGCCCAGCACTCTATCTGCTAAACAATATTGTCACAACAACCAGGTAGTCTATGGTACAAAAGAGAGATGTCACACCAAAAAACATGAAATTTGGCTAGGATATTTTTGGAGTCGACTCTATCATTTGATCACCCAGTAATCACTCCATTGTGTTTGACAACTATGCCAGTCCCCTAAGACCTCTTACAACTTGCATTGTGTTGTGTTGTGGCCTGATGCATTTCATGTAGCTTAAGGAAACTTTAGATGTAAATGTAACAGGAAAACTAACAAGGCTGTTCAAACTTATCTTCCACAGACAATAACTGCGGGCTCAGCAACATTTGTCAGAAAAAGCAGGAGGATTTAAAACTGCAAAAAGAAGACTTTGTTTAGCAATAGATATTTTTATATTTGGGAAATAAAATATACTTTCCATCACCCATAATGTTTTGTTTTATATACTTGGCTTCAGTGCCCAAGAAAACAAAAACAGGAGAGGCAGAATTTCTCCAGGAAACTGAGAGGCCACTTTGGAGTAGCCCCCACCCACTGAGTAGATTGATCGCTCATTCTTGTTTTAAACTGGACCCTCTTTGTAGGATCTATCCACCATCCACCACCCCCTTTCGGTTGATAATATAAATGTATCAGCCTCTGAGTGACCACTTCATGCATTTGGTGAAGCAAGCTCTGATACACAGAATCTTCTGCTTGAATAAATGTTCTTTATTCGCCCCAAGACTCCTGTTATATCATTCATAGGGTTGCCATAAGTCAGAAGCAACTCGATGGCACTTAACAGACACACAAAGAACTAGTGAGAGCCAGTTTGGTGTAGTGGTTAAGTGCAGGGACTCTAACCTGGGAGAACCGGGTTTGATTCCCCACTCCTCCATTTGCACCTGGCTTTATGACCTTGGGCAAGTCCTAGTTCTGAGAAGAGCTGTTCTTGAAAAAGAGCAGTTTCTGTCAAGAGCTCTCTCAGCCCCACCTACCTCACAGGGTGTCTGTTGTGGGGAGGGGAAGGGAAAGGAGGTTATAAGCTGCTCTGGGACACCTTCGGGTAGTGAAGGGCAGGGTATAAATCCAATCTCTTCTCCTTATAAGAGAGCTGTGCTATTTTATGGATGAGACCAAGCGTTCCCCAACCTTTTTTAAGCCTGCAGGTACAACTGGAATTCTGACAGATGGATGTGGGCACAACCACAAAATGGCTGCTGTCACGTAGGGTTGCCAACTCTGAGTTGGGAACTGCTTGGAGATTTGGGGGGGTAGAGCCGAAGCATGGCAGGGTTTGGGGAGGGACCTCAAAAGAGTATAATGCCATAGAGTCCATCCTCCAAAACAGCCATTCTCTCCGGGGAACTGATCTTGGACACCTGGGCTGGACTACCCATAGACGCAATTAGGCATTTGCCTAGAGCAGCCCCTGGAAGGGGGCGCCAGCTGGCCTGCCGCCCCTACCCTCCCACATTGCCTCCCACCATCTCAGCCACTAGGGCTGCCAAGTGGGGGTGGGGGGCGGGGAAACCCCCACTTTGGAGGCCTGATTTCTGCCGCTGTGGAATTGGGCCCTGGGGAACTCCGCCCCCCAAAGCTGCGTTGCCACGTCGCTCACGTTGGGGGTGTGGCCCAGATCGTAGGGGGAAACCATATGGTTTCCCCCCCAGACAATCTGGGCCACGCCCCCAACATGAGCGACGTCGCACGTCACTTCTGTTGACGAGCTGGCGGTGCATGCGCTTCGTGTGCGCATGCATCCGGAGCCGGCTCCCGGACCCGTCCCCCACTGGTGAGTTTGCGGGACTTGCCAACCCTATCAGCCACCCACCCGCCGGCCCGAGTGCTGGCTCTTGCTGGGCCTGTTTCTACAAACACCACCCAGCTGTCACCTGGGCGCCCTCTTGACCGGCGTGGTGGTGGCGGCTGTGTGCTCTCATCTGCGCCCTGCTGCTCCTGGGCTTTGGTGCCGACATCCAGTATTGCCCGCCCAGGCACCTAGTAGGGAGGGACCTTGCAGTGCCCCCCCCCAAGCAGAAATGGAAGCTCTTCCCTCCCCCAAAAGCCACTTTCACTTTCCCTCCGAGCCCTCCCCCGCTGGCCTCGGGGCCGTTTTGCTGCCCACGGCCCTCCTGGTGCTCCAAGGGCGCAGCGAGGCTCCAGCGATGAGCACCATCGAGGGGCTCCTCCTGCTACTGCTGGGTGGAGCGTCGCCCCCCTGCTGAGTCTGAGCAGGTCGGGTTACCGTGAGTGAGCGGGGAGGGGACATGGAGGGACTCCGCTTCTGCGGTGGGCTGGGGGGGGAGGAGGGAGCCGGGGCGCCTCGCCACTCGAAGCTGTTTGCACTTTGCCTGGCTCCCCTGGGAGCAAGGCTCGTCCTCTCCTCCACTGCAGCTCCAATAGCCACACTCACCTTCCCCCCCCCCCGCGTACTCCTGCCTTCCACCGCCTGCTTCCTCCCCACACACCTTGCCTTCGTGGGCCCACATGTCTCCCTCCAAGCACCGCTGCAGCCCCAGAGTCAGGAGGGGTGCCTCGGGGAAACAGGAGCAGGCTAGCTCCTCTACAACTTGCCCAGGAAAAGGAGGCTGAGGTTGGTTCCTTATTCGCACTTCCTTATTCATTCCTTATTCGTGTAGTCAGAAACACTAGAGAGAGTGAGTTGGAAAGCTCTGAACCCCAAAATAAGGTCTGGACCACCACGTATCATTTACCCCCACATTCACAGGACTCTCCCCTTCGAGGGGACACATTCTGTGTGCTGGTCCAAA